TAGTGGGACTTTTCATACCTTTTCTCCACACATTTTGTCACCTGCCCCTCATCTTCTGTAAGATTGTGTCTTCAAAAAGAATGGGAATTGTAGAAGGAACATCAAGAGGAGGGGTATGATATTCAGTGGTTTAGGTTAGGGTTAGGCTCTTAATAATCCAAAGGGAAATCAGCAAACCCCATTTTTCTTGTGGCAAATAGATGCCTCGGCCCACTAGAGGAAAACTCAGGAAGTTCAAGACATAAAAACCCAAAGAGTAGTATTTCAGGACCTGATTCTGTGCCCACTGCATTCTTTTGCTAAAAATGGGTCACAGGCTCTCCTATCATGCTGTTCTCTGGAATTCACTGAGCAGTGGGAGGGGAGTCCGATGACACCAAGCTACCTCTGTGACCTAAGAGTCCTGAGTCATCCACCTTGAAAGAGCTCACTTTCTACGTGCCCTGTGTTTTACCTTGCCCCATGGTAATGCCACCTTGCACAAAGACAGAAAAGTTCTATCAGGGACTCACTTCCAAGTTAGGCAACACTGCATCTTGAGAAACAGCAATTTGTAGGTAAATTTGATTCTAAGTATTTCTACAAAAATAATAGGCCTATCAGTAATTATTTATCTTGTACCTACTGTGAGTCTAGTGACTTCATAGCACTGGATTTGGTGGGTCTGCACTGTGCAACAGAGGGCGCAAAGAAGAGTAACACCGTTCTCTGCGGTGTGAGTTCACGGTCCCACGTGGAATGTAGATGCATGAAACACACACACACACACACACACACACACACAGCAAGCGCAATGGTTGAGAGTGTTTCAGGAGTAGACAGGAACGACAAATAAGTTTTGAAAATCTATAAAAAGTTCTTGGAAGAGGTAGGAGTTTAGCTGCACCTTAAAAGTGGAGTGGGGTGCCAATAGATAAAAATGATGGAGAAGGGCATTCCAGACTGTAGAAGGAGTTTGAAGAAAGTCATGGAGTTGGAGGAGTGGTTGGAAGGTATTGGGTAATTATGAATTAACCAGTATGACCATAATATAAGTCTGTTCCAATTCATAGCAACCTTGTGTTGAACACCCTGCCTAGTCCTGTGCCATCCTTACCATTGTCCTTGTTTAAGCCCATGGTTAGGGGGAGACCAATTGGGCGGGGGTGGTGGGGGGTGGGGGGGTGTTTGAGCAGCCATTGAGCGCTGGCAACATGTTAGAAAGAAAGCAGAGAGGTGAGCTGAGAGACTAGGATGGTCACATAAAATAAAACATGGGACCAGAGGCCAAATGGTGAGAGAAACCCTCTGGTCATCCAAAGAGGGCTTTGCTTCTCCCCAGAATTCCTACAGAGTCTCTGGGGGAAGCAAGCAATTATTGAACTGGGCTACTCACCAAAAGGTTGGAGGTTTGAGCCTATCCAGCCTCAGAAGAAATGCCATGTGATCTATTTTCAAAAGATTAGCCCTTCAAAACATTACTGGGAAAATTTCTATTCTGACACACATGAGGCTGCTCGGCATTAACTTTGTCTCAACTGCACCGGGTTTAGAAGACCTACAGGGTTGCAGCCAGTCAGCACCTTTGCCTCTGGAGGCAGCATCAACACTCAAGATTCCCAGACTCAAATTTTCAGAAGCGCAGTTGCAGAAGTCCTGGAGAAATTTTAAAGCAAGTCGCAGACACCTTCCAAGAGATCCGGACCAGTAGGGTGGCATAAATGGTTAAGCACTAGACTACTCACCAAAAGGTTGGCGGTTCAAACTCACCCAGAGACACCTCAGAAGGTAGGCCTGGCAATCTGCTCCTGAAATCTGCCTTGAGAACTCTGAAGCACAGTTCTTCTCTGGTGCACTGGGGTCACCATTGGGTCGGTGGTACCTTACTACTACGTGGTATGGAAGACAGAGGTTTACCGCTTACTCTTGTCGTGAGAGTACTGATGGCTTGGAGATCTTAGGTTTTGATCTCCACTAAAGTGTCTCAAGCATAATGACCTTCATCACATTTCTGACTTTGTCCTCCTGTCTTCAACTCTGATCCTCAACAGACACATTAGGAGATGGGACAGGTGGACTGCTTAAAGAGGTCCCCTGAACGTCCCCAATGGGCCAACACGCCTCCTCCTCCTCCTCCTCCTCATGTTCATTCTTGTGCTCAGTTGAAAAGCCAGAGACCCTGGCTGTGTAACAACAATGCCATGGGAGTATCTGATGACAGGATGCTCTGGGCCCTTGGGAAACAGGCTACACAATGAGACTATGCATTTTCGGCAAGGCTTGTGCACCATTCATAGCCCTTTTGCATCTAGTATCACTTTTATTTCTCAATAGTCATCCTGGACAGAGGTAAGCAGGTCTTAAAAACTTCCTTCTGCACACTGGGGACACCACTTAGGTGACGCGCCTAAGGTCAGGCAACCAGAGCCGGTCCTGAGTCCCACGTCCTCCCAAGCCCCACATCCAGTCGCTTCTGTGCCATAATGGGAAGGGGTCATATAAGCGGCATTTTTCTCTCCTTGTAAAAGAGGGGAGAAAGAAGGGGGAAGGTAACTATTTAAACATACTTCACTCATACTGCAATCGCTGCATTGTTTTTCCTGTCGAAACACCCTGTTGGTTTTTAAATCCCTTTAAACCTACCCAGCACCTGTATGGCTTAGATCCAGACATTATTACAGAACCCCTCCCTCTCTCTGTTTAGCCACATAGCGCTTTCTTATGATGGTGACTGGTCCTTGGCTCAGTTGAAAATTTTAGAACATCAGTTTTCTGCTTCCATGAAATGGTCAGACCTGCCTTTTCTTTTGTTTTTGATTTGTTTGGGTTTTATTTTGTTTTGTTCCCCCAAATGATGTCCGGCATGTTTTCCCCACCATCCTTTTCCTGCTGGAGAAAATCCTACCACGGCACGAGCCTGTGTTCTTCCTCTGTGAGGATTCCTTCCCAAGAACAATTGCCCAACGGAGCGCAGCGCCAGGGGTGCCTGCCATGTTCCCCACGGCAGAGAGTGGGCAGGGGAAGAGGGTACCAGGCAGCAGCCGAGGGGATGTGACACAACCTCTCTTCAGGGCACAGACTGAGGCTGCAAACATAATGAGAACTTCCCAGCAAATTCATTATAACAGAGCATAATGTGAGCTCGGTGGGCATAAAAATAGGCTGAAGGAAAGTGACTCCCACATAAGACCTAATTAAAGACTTTGATGTCAGAAAGCAGAGCAGGGAGGGTGGAAAATCAAATCAGACCAATTTGCAGGCCCTAAATTCAAATGGAAAGAAGAAAATCGTATTCCTCTTTCAACCCCTCTCCGGCTCCCTCTCTCTTTTTCTTCCTTTGCCATGAAGCAAGAATAGGATTCAGAAACAATGGGTAGTAAATTCTTCGGCCAATTAGTCCAGTGCCTTACTACTGTTTATAATGCACAGAATGTCACAGGCTGGTTTGCAGCCGCCCCAAGTTGGTTTGTTAATAACAGGAAGCTAGCACTTCTCAGTACAGTGGATCAGCTACACGTGAAAATAAATGCAAAAAACCTGGAGGGGAATGGCAGCAGACCGAGAGTAGCCTTGATTTAATTTAACATTTGGGGGTCCACACACAAATGAGCATTTTAGTAGGCTTCATGGTGGAAGTTGCTGTCATTTGTAAAATATTCTGGCCAATTAGCTAATAGTGTGCTTGGATTTCTCCTGTTTTGATACAGTAATACTAAGTACATTGTGAAGCCCAATTATACAAATCATCCCCATATGCCATACCAGTCTCTCTTTATGAACTGTGTTTATAAATCCTGTGTGAGGAAATGTGTACTTCAGCAATTTAGACCATGTGTAAAAACATGGCCAATGGGATTGTCGAGAAAACAAGCTCCAGCCTAGGAGACCCTAATGTGCTCCACTGGAGAACAGGAGGGTGCCGGGGAGGGCCGGGCTCGGCGTAAATACATATTGCTTTATAGTGTTTAACCTACTTAGGGGCTTCCGCTTCCTTTCTCTGCTGTTATTTTTGTTCCTCTTCTTTTCTTTTAGGATCCAACCTTGGAGCTTTTGCGAAAGTTTGGGATCGGTCTTCTCTCCGGGACAATAGCATCAGTCACTAACATCCCGTTTGATGTTGCCAAAAGTAGGATTCAAGGGCCCCAGCCAGTTCCTGGACAGATCAAATACAGAACCTGTTTTAAAACAATAGCCACCATCTACCAGGAAGAAGGGTAATACATTCTTCTTTAATGAGTATGCGACTGCTCAGGTTTTGCTGGGGGGCAGCAGGGGGGAGGATCCCTATTGTCCTTCCATTTTGACGAGGGCTGCAAAGTCCTCCTCAGTGAAATGTGTGTCTAAGAAGCTAGGATCACCTTTGCAAGATAAACATTGTCAGGGGATGTTGGCAAAACCAGGAGTCATGATCGTACAAGATGCAGCACATTGGCCTTAGAATAGCAAGGTGAACATTTTGCTTCTCAGCTTGCATAATGTGCTATTGTGCCTTATATTAGCATTGTTAACATAGGGGCGGGACAAATACGTCTTCCGACTGTCGAGTTAATCAAACTATCACTCAATTTTATTCTCCTGAGAATATTAAATAGAGTTCTGCAGAATTACTTTTTTTTCATTTAAATTCTGTCTCTTTTTTCTGATATTACTGTGCTTGTTATCATTATCTTGGTCTCTTCATTCTGCCTCAGCCCCATCATAGTCACAAGTAAACAAGTGTTTGTTTATTATTTTGATCTGAACTGCATCACATTTCCTAATGTGAAGGCTGAGTCTGTGGTCTCTGAAATTCCATTGCACACGTCATTTTGTCCATATACACAGCTGTCTTGCAAGCGAAGTCCATCCTGCTGATGAAAGTCTGATTTCTGATTGGACAAGGTCAGCACAGCTTGGATAATAACGAATTGATTACTATAACTCTTTCTCCCCATCTGCTTCGCTGCACAGCCTACTCAGCCAGATACTGCCTGGCCTGGGATGTGTGTGATTTAGTTATATATTTACTTTTAAGTGCTGAACTCCCCCTGTAGTGGTGTAGTGGTTACGCATTGGGCAGCGAACCACAAAGTCAGCAGTTTGAAGCCCTGGGAGGGAGACAGGGCTTCCTACTCCTGTAAAGGCTGAGCCAACATCTCAATGAAGTTGAGGGAACACAACTTCATTTGATTATCAGAATAAGAATGTTGCTCTTTCCCTTCTGGTTATAGGTTTTTTGCTTTGTACAAGGGTCTGATTCCCAAGATCATGAGACTTGGACCAGGTAATGATATTTTTATTATCTATAGCCTTCCTTCTGTGTTCTTGTAGTTCGTTCCTTACTTATATCTGTGAACAACACTAGTAACAGGTTAACCACACTTGTGAAAGACCGAAACCTGGAGGATATGAAGTTGTCTATGAATATTCAAGCCACTGAAGGCATCCACTGGAAATATCCTACCTTTGCTTATAAATTGCTGTTTATGGACTTACCGGGGGCTCACAGGAGCCAAATAATGACTTAAGTAAATAGGAAAGGGCCCACACCAGTTAGAGTTTGCGGGAGAGTTATAACCCATGGTGGCTTCTGGCTCAAGGGAAGGACTTTCAGTTGAGTGAAGGGACAGGTCAACGAAACTTGTCCCGGAGTTTCCAGCTCACTGCTGCCCTGCCTAGCTTCACTGTGAAAGGAAACGAGGACCACTTGCCTGCACGGACAGCAAGAGCCACTTGTCTCCACCGTCTGTTCTGGAAAGTGGGAAAGCCACAGCCTGGCCCTCCTCACCTCTCCAGGCCTGCCTGTGGAGGCTCCTGGCTCAGAGCCCTACCTCATGAGGCTAGCCCACAAAAGTGTAAAAAACACCCAGCTGCCATTCCCACAGGGAGAGTCAGCTGCCTCTATGTAAATAGATAAGAAAATAACTGCTGCCGACTCAACCGCCTGGGCAAATAGTCTTGGATTATGAGCAGCCTGGTGAATCAGTCCGGAAGCATGCAGGAGACTGCAGGCCACGCTCACCTACCTGGTGAGCTTCCCTCAAACCTGCTCCCACTGCTCTCTTTCCCTCCTTTCCCAACAGCCTGCTCTCCCAGCACACTCACACACACACACACACACACACACACCTGATCTTCAGGTCGCAGCCCGTGAGACCCCGAGACCGAGAGCAACAGTCTGTCAGTGAAGACTGGTGAACACTTGGAATCTTGATGTATTTCACAAAGACTTCCCAAATCCCTGGCCTTTGCTCCCACTGATCCTACCCTTTCTAGGCATTTAAGCATGAATTTTGTTTCAATCTTGAGAGTCAGATCTGCCTTATGTTAATTACTGGCCTGTGTGTCAAAACGAACCCAATAATAAAAAATGTTAGGAATTTTGTGCGCTAGACGACCTAGTATTGAGTGTGTTGGGGGAGGGGGGGGACAGAACGGACCCTAAACCAGCTTTCTCAGAAGGGATGGCACCGCAAAAGAGTGGTGCCTTGGGCAAAGTTTAGCTAAAATGGCAATTGACTGGAACCTTAATCCAAACCTCTGAAAAAAACTCTGCTGCCAAATTCTGTTAGAGCCTTGCAAGTCTTTACGCATGAGGCGTTCTGATTCGCTCTGGTGTTAAGTCCACTGCAAAGGGCAGCTGTGAAGTCACTGTCCAGGCTACTCCACACTGCGAGTAACTGGCAGCCTCATTCAAGAACCTCCTTCCAAAGGGGCAAATCTGAGCATCTTCCAAGGGAAAAAAGGTAGAAAGCTAAGACTTTTGAGTTTAAATTTTTTTAAAAGAAGGGAAAGAGAAACTAAACCGCTCATCCACTGGAGCCTTCACGAGTTAAAAATGAGAATTACAGGCAGATTGTTATCTTAGGGCTATGGCTGCATAAACACGTGCGGCCTATACATCCAAAGAGGTGGAAAGCATATGGCAACATGTACAAAATAACTAAGATTAAAAATCACGTCCTCTTTCTTCCTGTCTGCAGTCAGCCTTCTATTCATGTGGCCCATCTCTCAGTCATGCTCAGTATATTTGTCCACCTTTTGATTGCATCATCTTTTAATGCAGTTACACATGAACAGATAAGGAGAACGTATCCTAAAGGGCCCCAGATATGTGTTGTCACTGCATCAAATAGGACACAGAAGCGCCCGCATACAAACATTTCTCCCAGTAGCTGTTCAACTGCCTCGTTGTTTATTTGCCCGTACAATGTTCCTGCTGACACACGACGCAGCAACCCTCGGTGCAGCAGGTACATCACTCTTCTCACCCAGGACAAATAATGGTCTCAAGCCACCTCACCGCAACTACTAAATGTTCAAGTTCAATCCATACAGATCAGAGGCAGATAAGTGCGCGAAAAATAGCTTTCAAACTCCCCGTTTTCACAAAATATGCGGGAGCTGTTGTTCACACTACAATCCAGTTTGAAAGGTGTCAAGGCAGACTTGTCTGCCAAGTGCCGTTTTTTTGAGACTGCCTCCTTGCACGCAACGAAGACTAAGAATGGGCTGAAAATGCTCCTGGTGGACTAGGAGCAATAAAACGTTTGCCTACATAGGAAGAATCTGGGCATTGCTGTTCACAAGAAAGCCACGCGCCCTTCCATGACCACGCATGTTTATATTTATTTACTTCTGGAAATGTAAAGTGCTTGAAAAAAATATGATGATAAATCATAAAAGTGATAGAAAGCCGTAAAAGTGTATGGATCTCGAAACTCCAGATGGTCTTGAGTATACCCGAAGCCTTTCCCACAGTAGTGGTGCATAGACAGAGATGGTGGGTGGATGGATGGATGGATGGATGGATGGACGGACGGACGGACGATAAAGAGATGGACATGCATATGTATTGGTGTTTCAGAACTGTTGAGTAAGAAAGCTACATGGGGCTTTATGAATCCAGAAGCGCAGTGGGAAAGATGTTGATGTTTCACAAGATTTATGACAAACAGCCAGCCCTTTTCTTTTCTAGGTGGTGCAGTGATGCTGCTGGTTTATGAATACACCTATTCATGGCTTCAGGAGAACTGGTGATTGCCTACCCAGTGTTTTCCACCCCCCTTGAGAGAATGGGTATTTGCTAAGCAGCACCATGGGAGGAAAGCACACTGGTCAGTCAAGCTGGGCATACAATCATAAAGGGGGAAGCCGTGTAGATGAAGAACCAAACAGATTCTGCTACTTTCAAAATCTCTCTCGATCCAGTAAAACTGCAGTTCTGGCTGTATGCATAAAGCTGTGTGGAATAAAAATAATACAAAGCAATGAGGTATATAAATTGAATAAACAAAAAGCATAGAAATCAGATGTCTAATAAAAGTAGTATAAGCTTTGTCACATATGTTCCTCCTGCATTTTTTCCACAATTAAAGTTATTCATTGTATTGATGATGTCGGGAAATGCTTAAATTCTTGAAACAAAATCATTGGTGGCTGGTTTTTAGAGAACTATTTGAGAAAAGGCTAGATGAAGATATTTGAACATGTTTCACAAGGAATTAAAGTTGTCCCTAAATAATGCTTAAAAGGCATAAGGAAAATGTTTTTAAAGTGCACTAATGCACATGTCCTTTTTAAAATTATTTTTAAGACATCAGAAATGTCAACCTGTCAATTTACTACAGTAATAAGAGACACCTCAGCTATATTTTTTCAAATATATTTTACACTTGAAACTGTTGTTGAAAGAAAGTCTTATTTGTCAATCATGATATATTTTTTACAAATATCATGAAATTACATTAAACTACGTTCTTTCACATAGTTCTCTTGGAAGGCAAGTTTTATTACTGGAATTTCTTCATGTTAAATCCCAAATTGGAACCACTCCTTGGGCCATTTGTGTCCTCTATATTTGGACCCAAATATCCTTGTTGAGACCTCTTCGGTGCATCATACATTACTGTGCAGCATAATTACTGTGCATCATACATACATTACTGTGCAGCATAATTACTGTGCATCTACATTCCTGTAAAGTACATTTCTAGACTATTAGCTCAATGAAAGCTCAGGTGTAAAGTCAGCTGGCTACAGTGTCAAAATACGTATCATAAAGGGAAAAATGTTGAAAATAGAAATACATTCTTAGCATTTCTAAGAATGCCTGTGCTAACATGCACTCCAGAAAATATCTCCTTGGTCTTGATAGAACCAAATTTGATTTTCCGTCTATCCCCTGAAACAATTTCTCTCAGCTAGTAACTGAAGTCAACAAAAAACGTCAACAGGATCTAGAAGGCCCGTCTTCCTAACTGCCACTACAGAATCATTCTACTATGTAGATCTGACACTAAAATAATTTGAAAATAACAAGTAAAAGATAACAGGATAATTATCACTTTTTATTAATTTAGAGCATTCAAAGTATAAAAATAAAAGGCTTTTTTAACATACTGTATATACATACACAGCCTTCTGTTGTACATCCTTTCCAAGTGTTTTTTAAATTTATATTTCAGCCCAATGTCAATATGAGGGTTATTGGAAGCAGAAAAACTAAAGAAAAAAAAAGGGAATGTGCCTCTGTTGCACAACTGAATTATATTCTTGCAGGTATCCTGTGAGACAGCACTGCCTGCAGAGTAGAGGTCACAGAATTGAAGCTGGTCCCTCCCTCCCCAGGGGGAGGGGGTGGAAGAGGCTCTCTGAAGAGTGCATTTGCCCGCTTGAAAACAGCACCGTTGCCCTCAGAGGAGCAGGGGAGATGTGGCAATATTAATCAACAATTGAAACTTTTTAATATTAAACAAACCAAATCCCACGTCCTATCCCATTTCCCATCGCTTATTTTTTGAAGCAGCTGTGAGTAATGATTTGCTTTGAATAGCAGATGGCATTGGGTGGCTCTGTTGCCTCTTCCAATGTAGTCCATGCGAACGCATTGTGGTTAAAATAAGACCTAGAGAGAAAGAAAGGAGAACACCTGGAGACCACTGGTTATTTGAATTTTTAAAATACAAGGACCAGGAACAATATTATAAATAGCATAGTAACCAGATATTTCTTAACAATTGTGTTTTCATACAATTGAATTTTTTTTTAAGACTCATATCGCCACTGGAAAACATTTGACAGGGGGCATTCTGTACCTTATATCAGTTTTTCTGGACAGCAGGAGAGTCCCTGTACAGAGTGGTTTTCAACTTTCCACCCAAATAGTGGACTGGTACTTTTATTCCACTCTGTTGAGGTCTATTTGCTCACCAGCCTGGGAACTCCAGAGGTCAGTGGGAGTTTGACGAGATCAAAGAAAGACTATGGCCCTGAGAGATCATCTGCTCCTTCTGCTTGTTCTTCTCCCAAAGTTGGAATCCTCTGTTTGTAGCACTGAGATTGTGGTTGCTTTAGATATAAAAGGCAGTTCAAAGCTCTCTGAAATATCTGCTGCTTGGGAAAAGCAGTGTCTTAAACATCACTCGAGTGTCAGAAATCTGCTTACGGTTTATATCCTAGTGATGGGGAAAACGTAGCTAATCTGGCCATCTGAGTGTGAAAGGAAGCCGTGAAACCAGTGTGGCGGAGCTGGCGGCCATGTGGCACAGCCCCGACAGGAGACCACCGAAACCACCTCGCGACTGCATTGTCAACATCCATCCCCTGGGATGTGCCCTTGGACCTATTGCACAGAATTCACACGAAAAATACGACACCTGCAATATATGAACAATTCCAATAGATGAACTGTCCCCATTTCTAAAGGCCCTTTCAAGCCTCTATTGCCAAGCGAGGAAGAACTCTCTCAACAGCAGAGATGAAAAAACAAACGGTGGAATTATGCCCAAGAAAATCACTTGTTTTAAGATACAGCACATAATCACACGTTCGCACTCACACGCCCACACACATATCCCACAGCTCCACAATTACCGTTATAGGGAAAGGTTAATTGGCCTAGAAAGACTCATCAGTTGCACTGTGTCCTGTCACTCCAAAAATGAGTAAGGGGCGTTGGTTAAAATTAAATAACATTTGTATTTCTACTACCACCACCGTTGCCTACACATGAAACATACTTCCATACACCAACGTAAACTTCACAGCAAGCCATCTTTACATTCATCGGAGCAGAATTTTACAGTTTCTTTAAATTACAATGAAAGCTGGGGTGAGATTGCAGGACACGCAGGTAAGCCAACGGTAGCAGGACAATTTCGTTTCACAGTGGTTTTCTCAACATAAAGCTCATGGGAAGTGTCTCTGGAAAGCTTTTCACATTAAACATATGTTTCTAAGTGACTTCCCTTTAGGGCCTTCTTGTTCAGACCTTTTCCACCCTCGTGTCTTTATGTGCGTGGCATGTGTGTTGTTTAATTAGGACACCACATGGGAGACTGGCTTGTTTTATCTGCTTGTTTGCATCCTCTGCTGTAGGAAAAGGGGGGGGAATGTCCTTCATCAGATGTTGAAGCCTTCCCTGCACACACAGACTCTGGGGGCGAGTCCAGGCCCAGGAGCCCAAGCTGCCCACCAGAGAGACAGAGGTTTCCAGAAAATCACCTTTTCAAAAAGAAAGAGGGGGAAAGTGTCTGGGGTGAGGGGTAGGTGGATAACCCAGGGAATGAAAACACAAATAGCATTAAGAGTCCATATTTACAAATTAATAGAAACTATAAACATAATTGTATTTAAACCAAGTCAAAATGCCAGGGCTGTGGGGGAGGGGGGGAGGGGAGCTTAATCCAGATATTGCTTGGGTCCTATGCATATTTCTTCCAACAAAAGAGGTCATCTCTGAAAAATAAACAAAGGATCACTCGAGTCAATCATTGATTACTTTCGGAAAGATGAATTAAGGCTTACTGGGTTACGGTGTTTGATTAGAGGGTGTAGCATAACATTTTTCTATATGTATTTTCCTTTATTGATTTTGCAAAATCTCAACAATTGCACGTTTCAAAAGTTCAGGTTGATTTAGAATAAATATACATGTGTGGTTTTACCAAAGACTAGGCCTATTTGGTTTGTTTTTTTCATTTTTTTAAAGTTCTTTAAGCCCTTTGAGGGGTGCAGGATTCTTCACTACTTAAAAACAGTGTGTGGGCAACCCAAAAAGTCTCATTCGATACTTAACATCGCTGTTGTTTTTAAATCCTGAAGGCAGGCCAGGTTTGCTGTGAGAGAGAAGTTATGGCAAGAAATATTTACGTGTCGTCAGCACAAAGGATGGAAGTCCGTGCAGCCCGCTTTCAACACAGGAGGGGGAGGGGGTGGCGGGGTGGGGTCTGAGACCCGGGAAGGGGGAGGACGTGCTGAGAGGGGGAGACCCCGGGGCCATGCTGCTGGAGACGATTTCCCATCAGAGTGCAGACGCTGCCACAGAGTGACTACCTTCTCTGGCTGCCTGCATCCCCTTGAACGCCAGCGAGGCAGGAATGTCACAGTTGTGGGAGGTAAGCGGGGTGCCGCTGGCATGTTGCCACCCGTGTCCAGCCACATAACCAGAAGGAGCAGCGCTGTAGGTCATATAAGGCGACACTTGGGCCGGGGTTGGGTAAGGAGCCATGCTGGACGCTGACACAAAACTGCTCACAGCTGGGAGGCCATTTGGTGCCTGAGAGGAGCGGGGAAAGAGAAGAAGTTTTAAAAAACAAAACAAACAAACAAAAACCCATAATCCCATTCCAGTAGTTGATATTTCACCGGTTCTTAGAAGCACAATGTAAGTTCTGAAGAAGCTCACCATATTCTGACTACTCTCTGGTTTTGCAGTTTTGACCTTAATGGTGCATATTCTGAAAGGCAATCACGGTCTTGCTACCGAAACAAACATGTCAAAAGGCACGATATGATTCTTTGCATAAAGGTTTTGAGGCGGTTTCAGCCAGAAAATCCATAGCACCCGACTTTGCCATTTGGGGTGATAGGAAAGAGACACGGGGTGCAAAAGGAAATGAATGATGACTAAATGCTCCCAGAATCTGCCCACCATCCCTCCTGCCCTTGTCAACGGCCCAGGCCTTCTGGTTTGTTTGGCTCATTTGCTGAGGCTTTTGCGAAGGGCCTGGGCAGCTTTCGTTGCCAGCAAAGCAGGGCGCAGAGTGTGGGCGGCCCCGGAAGACGCTCAAAGGGAGCACAACCGATGTTACACTAAACGGGCAGTGTCTTCGGACGCACGTTGAAAATGCCTGTCGAGCAAAGGGCCTGCAAAACCCGACGGCTTGTCTTGTGAGGGCTTTCAATGAAGAGTGGGTCTACTTCTCCTTATCAGAAAGGAAACTGCCCGTCCAAAGAGAAAAGAACCGCACATGCGTGATTTTGAAATTGGACTATTTGCTTACGAAGTTTGGGGGCCCTGTGTGGGGAATTTTGAAAAGCCACATGACTAAGTCTCTTGAAATGAATTTCAATGTAAAGTCTTAGTTTGTAAGCAAAACGCAGCCACTCTGCTCGACAATCCTCCTTAGAAGCCAGTGAGCACTTGGCATTCATTAAATTATTGTTGGTTTCCTTACTATTAACAGCCCCCCAAACCCTGATTTCTAATCCTGGTTCTGGCAGGGATACTCAGCACCTCTGCTCAAGTATCTTAATTCCCCTCAATTTCAACATTCCTCAGGAATAAAGAGCAAGTCGTGCTTCCTGGTGGCATGAATGAGCGGACATATCCTTGTCTTTCCTTGGGAACACAGGGCTTAAGTAATAGAATTATTGTTAGTGAAAACAATTTCATCCTTAGAGCCAAGTGAATCAGACATATGTCAGCCAAGCCCTTTTTTCTATTTAAGTTGTGAGGTACAGATTGTTTTCTCATTTAATTCATTTGATTATTATTTTCATCCCCACATCTATGAAAATACAATAGTGGAGGCTTATCAACTCCTCAAATTAGAGTAGATAAGTAAAATAAGAATGAGTCCTTAGTCTGTAAGAGCACACACCTTACTATCTTTTTCCATTTGTCCAAGTGCATGTACTTTGAAAATGGGGAAGGAAGAAAAGGAAGGTTTCTTGAGTATGTGCAATGTCCCAGACACCCAGGAATATCCAATATCTTTAACCAAATAATGTGGCTCAATGAATTATATAGCTCATTGTAGACGCCTGGGTTTATAATAAGAATAATAAGGTAATGTATAATCAGCAGCAACATAATATTCCATTGAAATTTTTTAAAGTATTTCAGAGTCCCAAAGAATTATGCTGTGATTTTTTAACCATTGCATATCCTAAGAATATAGATGAAAGGATTTAGCCATTTACCCAAAGGCCAATTAGTGAGTTGAAGCAGAGAGATGAGGCTTTCTCTCCCATAGAGATTTGCAGTCAGAGACCCACAAGGACGGTTCTCCCCCTGTCCTATAGGTTGCATTCAGTTTGAATTGACTCAGTGGTAAGGAAGGAATTACTAGGTCAGTGGCCACGTGTTAAAATCGTTGATCACCCCTGGCTGGTGCAGGGGCCAATGCAGCATGCTGTTCTGCCTGTCCTGAGCTCTTCAGAACTAGACAGGACCACATCTGAAACTAGAACATCTTTTGCGAGAGCATCTGATAAAAGATCCCTTCCCTTTCTAGAACTTGATGCTCGTTGTTAGATCCTCATTCTGCTCCTTGCGCTCTAGAAAGGGGGGGAAGGTGGTGCTGGTGGGGAGGCAGTGAGAACGGTTCATTCCTTCTCCAAGTGAACACACTTGGTGGATCTCAGGAGGTGAACGTCAAGATCGAGAGTGATCCAATTGCAGGGGACATTTAGCATGACGTAAAGATTACAGTTCTTTTTTTAAAATCATTTTATTGGGGCCACGTACAACTCTTATCACAATCCATATATCCATCCATTGTGTCAAGCACCTTTGTACATTTGTTGACATCATCATTTTCTTTCTACTTGAGCCCTTGGTATCAGCTTCTCATTTTCCCTCCCTCCCACACCCTCTCTCCCTCATGAACCCTTGATAATTTATAAAATTTTTTTTTCATGTCTTACACTGACCAGTGTCTCCCTTCACCCATTTTGTGATCGGTTCCCCCTATCTGCCCCCACCTTCCCCTTCCCCTCCTGGTATGACTACTCTCAATATTGGTCCTGAGATTACAGTTCTGATCATTTTTACTTAGGATTTCCAATAATCTATGAGGAACTAGTTTGGAAAGGTATCATTCCAATTTAGCAATGAAAAGGTGTTCATGTCTATATTTTGCCTCTGCTAGAATTAATCAGTATTTTACAGAACTGACACGAGAATACATCAAGAATAATAAAATAAGGGTAATAAGAAAATGGAGAGGTTAAAATTACTTTTAAAATAATGAAATGCTTAGCCCAGCATTTCTTAAGAACATATGGTTTAAAGAGTTAGTATTAGACATGAGAAAAGCAATGGTTTAGCCGAGAAAATCTCTTGGTGATTTCTGTTTTTAACCACAACTTAAGTTTTTTTTTCTTTGTATTGTTTTTCTACTGTCTAAAATTACAGTGAAACACTTGCTTTATTATCGCCTCTCCTTCCACCTTTGCCCCGGGAACCTATTGTTCTTTGAGCCTATATCTCTGACTGCAGCTATTCTGCTGCAAGATCTACAATGCTAGTATATGCTTCTTTTACCCAGAGATGTTCCTCTAGATATGGGCCTCCCAGAAACCAGACTGAACTGGACCCTCATCTGAGATGAGTTTACAACATTGGACTTAGGCTACTGTTAACGTCACTTCATGGATGCATTCAGCTGTCAACCGTGAAAAACAAAAGTACCCTTATTTTTTGGCCTAGTTAGTGCTCCAAACTTGCTTTTATGTTATACTTCTTATTAGTGATCAAGAGCTCAATGTTCTCTGATATCTGCAAATACTGATGGTCATTCAATGGTCCAATCCCCTCTGCAGAAAGGGGGGGTTGCAGGGGAATCTTAGAGAGTGCTGACCTCCTCATCGTATAGAAAAAGGGAAGGAGAGGCTAAAGTGTTTGCTTTAAAGGCAACAAAAAAAAAACCAACTAAGGATACACATCTTTAACTTTAAAAAATATACAAATAGCTTTCGGCTTTTCCTTGTGTTAAATAATGGCCCAGACCGGCATAGGGGAGCTGTCTTCATTTCATTTTTCACTTTTGAAGTTAAGATTTCGAAACTTGGGAAAATAGCTCACAAGAGATGAGAAAGCTTTAAGTGTGCTTTAAATGTACCTGCCCCCACCCAGCCACCTTCACTATCCACTCATTCTGGCAACGCAGTAAACACATCAATTCCTGACTATTAATTTTGAAACATGGCATTAGTAAAATAAATAAATCTCCACTGGGTAAAGTAATTGTATTTATGAAGCAGTTGCTGAAAGAGTAAGATTTTCCATTGCAAAGGAAAACAGCTACAGGTAGCATTGATTTGTTTATCCTTTTCCAGAAAAAGAGTACATGACTTAAACTTCCCAAATCTGTTTAATGTTTTCAGTGAAGGGCATGTAATTAATCTGAAAAGCCAGTTGAGTATAGACTAACAAATGTATACCATAAATATAGTGGGGCAAACACGCTAAATTACTCTATTTAATTGGATTGTAAATATGATTCATAAATCAACCAACATATGGAATCCCCAGGGAAGAGTAAACAAATTTTCCAAATGAAACCCCAGCAATGGGCATGTAATGGAAATTTCATTTTTGAAAATGACTTGACCTAAAAATTCCATAAATAAGGTTTCAACCCATCAACCCCTTTTGCATGTGAATCTTCTATTGGTGCCGAGAAGGGCTTTTCTCCTCTGAAGAACTGTGCAAGGGTCCTTCCTGAACCAAGCTATTCTCCATCAAATTTTGAGAATGACATTTACTAATACAAAGCCAAATAAACCAGATTGCACGCCCTGGTATAAATAAGGTACTTGCATTGTTGAATCGTTTTTAGAAAAAGACAGACTTCATTTTCATGGGCAGTAAAGGAAGAGCCCTGTGGGTACTCTAGTGGGTTATATGTTGATCTGCTAACTGCAAGGTCAGCCGTTCAAAACCATTAGTCGCTCCCTGGGATAAATGAGGCTTTCAACTCCTATAAAGAGTTACAGGCTCTATTAGTATTGGCTTCTATTTTATTTTCTGTAAGATTTTATTCTCGGTAAAATTATAAACCGGAGCAGTTCTATACTGGCCTATAGTGGCACCATTAGTCGGGACTGACTCCATGACCGCGAGAGACATGAAATGTTTTGAGAAACGATGTACAAATGTGCTTTACACAATTGATGTGTGTATGGATTGGGATAACAGAGCCCCTAATAAAATGTTAAAAAAAAAAAAGAAAAGAAAGAAAAAAAAGAAATTGGGAAAATATATAAGATGAAATGTTCTTTGTAGCAAGAATGAATGAAAGCACTGGTTCTTATTGACTCGTCCTAAAGTGGGAGAAAGCAGACTTGCTAGTTTCCAGAAAATCCCTTGAGTCAAAAGGTGAGGCTGTTTTGCTTGCTGTTTTGGCAAGAGGGCTAGACTGGATGGATGGACACTGAGGGCCGGCCTTGCCTGCATCCGCTGGGAATGGAGTCCATGGCTTAGGACAACAGCACGGTCCCCGCCAGGTAGGGCACACACCTCAGGGGTCCATAAACCTTGGTAAATTTAAGTTAGTGCAGTCTTGTGGGGAAAAAAGATGTGACAGTCTGGCTTTCAAAAACAAATCAGAACAAAACTGAGCACGCTTGTCACAGAGTAAGCATTACACTTTAAGTGAGCGACACGAATAAAGCTCTTGAAGGAAGTAAACAGAAGTTCTAGCTTAGGTATTTCATGATTTGATTTGTGGTTGTTCCATTTATTCCCCCGAGAGAAAATGGAAATGCAGTCGGTATCCAAACACTGTGTCCATGGAAAGAGACCGGGATGGCAACTCTCCGGCACTCCGGTGTTACAGATTATTCTTCAGTTCTAAGGAGTATCTACTCTACGTTTTCTCTCTTGAAGAAAAAGTGCAAAACTATGCCTGGGCCTCAATCTACACTCTTTCATTCACTTATCAGTTCTATATGGTCCTCCTCATATGATAAAATGAGTTTACCTCGGCTTTCTAATAAAGCACATTTGGCCACAAATAGAGATGTTCTTCACAGAGAGTTTTAACCTCAGGATCGAAAAAAAGAAAAAGGTTTGGGTCTGAAAATAAACAGGATTTTTCTCTGTTTAGGTGTGAAACCAAGTTTCTGTCATTCTTCTTTTCTGAATTATGCAATAACCTAGTAAAACAAATTTGATAAAATTAAATGACCACTGTAAATACAGTTTCAACATTCAGCCAAAAGGGTCTTAATTATGCTTGGCTATCACCTTGCAAATCTAAACGTCTCTAGGGAATGTAAAGCTGCTGTTTAAATTTTGTTTCTAAACCTTGTTTCTAAATTTTTATTAAAATTTTCAATGATCTTAAAAAATTCTTAATTGACTTTTTTACTAGTATTTTTACTGACACATTTTTTATTTATACATTATCAATAATTTTGACTTAAAACACTCCTGGTTAAAAGTCAATCAGGTTAAAGGATGTATTTCAGGCTGGATAACATTATGGCTTTTAAAGACTATTAGTATTGGCTTCTATTTTATTTTCTGTAAGATTTAATTCTCAGTAAAATTACAAATACTGCAAAAAAAGTACAATTTCTTTTATATTTTCAAGAGGCCATTGTAATTATATAGACAACCAATTTTTAAAATAATACACTAGAAAACTACGCTCATGATTTTGAAATACTATCATTTTAAATCCAATACAGCTTACAGATTGTTGTGCTTCCAAATTCAACCATTTTCTTAAGTTGTTGAACTCTAACTTATTTTTGCTTAAATTCAAGCCTTTACAGACTACTCTCCATTTCTAACATATCCGTTTACAGCTAGATGCTATATTAAACTTGTTTTTTTGAGTTAACATGTGTTATCCTAAAATGAGGTTACTCAAAATGAGGATAATCAAACATTCAAATTGCTTTTACTTGGGGTATCATATATACTATTTTTTCCAGAAAAAGTAAATCCAATTGTAGAAAATGGTTCAAGCCTACACAACTATTTGGAAAGAATTTTTAAAAGAAACTATCAATTTTTCAAATAATATTTTTAAAGGCAGATATATTCCTCGGTTTCTCTATACAATGGTTCTTTACTATGTGGTTATGTTCATAGGACTTTTAGACATTCAACAGAAGATAAATTAAGAACCAGAGAACATTGTTGTCATTCAGAATTAGATGAGATTAATGATTTCTAGCCCAATATTAAATGTGGGAAAAAAGAAAAGCCAAAGTAAATATTATTTTCCTCTCTCCCCAAAGGTGGTAATATGGAATTCAGAATGGCACTATAAAATATTAACTACAGTGCAATATTAGTGTTTAAGATAAGTTTGAATATTTCAATGTTTCACACACCAAAGATAAGAGTGTATATAACTGAAATGTCCTGATCCCCCAGGAACCAAGGATCTTTCTCTGCAGTTTAAGTTGAAAATAGGAACTCTAGATGACAGTAATCAATTGTACCTATTACAGTAATCAATTTTACCCATAACAGTTGTCAATTCACCCACTTCGGTAATTCTACAGATGTCTTCTTGGGAAAATAGTATGCGCTAAGCCCTATGGCTCTCAATTCTTAATTTCTTCCTTTATATCAAAATGAAACTGATGCTATGTCAGACTACCCTTTTTAATAACAAAGGTAAATGCCCTAAAATGTGTGCCAAAAATGTTGATACTTCCTTTCTTTTTTAACCAAAGACTTTCAAATGGAGTAGTACAAATGGAGGGAAGAAGCATGTAACCTGACTTTAAGTTTACATTTTGGTTGAAATATACTGATAATACTTTGAAGAACAACTTTAAAAAACAAAGCTGCTCTTTTAAATATGGGTGAGAGAAACTGCTACATATATCACAACTAACCTTTGCATGTTTGTTTATGAGGAAATATTCATGTATGAAATACATTCCCTCAAGGAAATCAATGCTGAAATTCCAAAATTACTCACAAATGACATAGCTTAAGTTGTTATGACTACTTAGCACTCTTCAATCCTAAGCACTAAATGTGATCATTATATTAGAATATCCACCAATTTTCACTGTGCTCAGAAACTTTTCACTGTTTTGGAAATTTGCATCCTTAAATTGCCTCATCTTTAAATTGCCTTAATGCCTGGCACTGCTTAAAATTTACAAACTATGATAAAAATTGTCCAAAGGTAAGTTTAGCATAAACCATCTTTTTCTTCTGGGAAAAAATACTTAACATGTTCTCTTAAGGACTTAAAACAATATTTATTTCAGCACTATTTTTTTGAGTTGCTTCCTTTTATAAGTCCCAAAATTTAGTCATTCAGTAACAACATAATCAATTTTTAATGTTGAGAATACACAAAGTAGGTTGTTTGAAGTCATGTTTTAAATTTTCATTTAAAATACTTTATCGGTTTAGGCTTGAATTGATTGTGTAACCATTTCTAAGGAAGTTGAAAATCTAGGTCTGTAATTCAAAGAACTAAAAATGAAAATAATCAGAAGGCATTTGGGGCATGTGAGACTGCTATGGCAAACTGGCTTCATCAACTACATGTAGAAAATCCTCAGCCTGATACTGCACAGTGTTATTCTAAGAAATGATGGCCTCATAAAAATTAACTGCATGTCTATTAAATGTTTGCTACTATACTAAATGCTTTAGATAGCTACTATTGTTTGTAACTAAATGCCTTGAAATGTTTTGACTATAAGCTCTCTAAGCAAGGAATATTATGGAGTGGGGGAGGTAACCACTTGTTTTTAAATGTTATCTTTAATCACCACTCAGAACCAGAGGTAATATTTACTGAATATTTGCTGTGTGCCATATGGTTGCATGTGTACATATCTTATGGGCCTGACAGCTCCTGAGGTTGGAAATATCCCTTCCCCTTTTTACAGATGAACAAACTGAGGTGTTGCAAGTTTAAACAAATTGTTTAAAGTGGAGCCAAAAGAGAGGAGGCCATCACCATGACACCATACTGCTTCTTCCTGCAGTAAAATATTAACTACAGTGCAATATTAGTGTTTACGATAAGTTTGAATATGTCAGGGTTTCGCACACCAAAGATGAGTGTACATAACTGAAATGTGCTGATCCCCAGGAACCAAGGATCTTTCTCTGCATGTTAAGTTGAAAATAGGAACTCTAGATGACAGTAATCAATTGTAATCAATTACAGAACTACTGGCCTTGTTAAAGAAAATTATATAGGTTCTTATAATTTCTGATTGGCATTTTTGTCCCTAGGCAAACGACTAAAGAAAGGGGCTCTGCTGGCTGCCATGTTTCTGAGAAGGCAAACTTGCTACCCAAGAGCTATTGTGATGCTGTCTTAACGAAGCAGGAGGGAAGAGAGTGGAGAAGGTATTTGTTTGAGAAAATCACCACTTGGATATTTTTCACAAGGGAACAGAAGTAGCAAATTTCATTTAGTTTGAAAAGCTGGGTGTGGGCAGTTAAGAAAGCATGCAATGTTGTAAGGGTTCGAAAGACTACAACAGAAATTGGGCAACTTGCACCTCTGGAGCTGGGATTTAGGATGAAGGCATTTGCAGACCTCTGAGGGGGAACCGGCTGAAGGGCAGGGAGTTTTGAAGGGTTTGCCCCAGTTCTGCTCAAGGACACTGTAAATGCCTTTAGCATCTTTTCCTTTCTTCTTCTTTTTTTTAAGTTTGGCTTGAGGTGGTGATAAATTTAGACACAAAATTCTTGGGCTTTTGTGGTAGCAGCTTTTCTGGAGAGTTGGAAGGGGTGGGGGTAACTTTTCTTTGGGAGAGTAGGAGGAGGGAAAGAAAAATTAAACGGTCCACAGCCAGTCGGTATAATTTGAGGTTTTCTCACGAACCTCCCTTGGGAGATTACGACGTGACCTTTAATCGGGAAAAGGTAACTTCATTACGTTCATCCGGCTGTCCCTCTTCCCGTGTGGCCGGCGCTGGGCAGAGGGAGCTTCCGCAGGAGCCTGCCGGCCCGACCGCCCTGCCCGCGATCCACCGGCCGGCGCTGCGGGCCGCTCCGCCCGCGCGGGTCCCGGGGCCCCGGGCGCCGGGCCTGGCGCTCGCCGGCCCAGGGAAGGCCTGAGATGCGGCCTCGCGGCTCCTCCCGAGGCCACGCGGGCCCGGCCGCCCGGACCGTTCGCAGCCCCACGTGCGCCCGCACCCCGCGGGGAGGCCCGGGCCTGGGCTCCACCGCGGGGGTCCGGGTTTGCGCCAGGCCAGCTCGAGGCCCCAGGGGACCGGGCTGGGCTCGACGACCGCCCAGAGAGGGCCCGGGTCCGCGCTGCGCCCCCACGCCTCCCCGAGCCCGCAGCGGCCCCGGCCCGAGCCGCACCTCCTCACCTGACCGTACTTGGCTTCCTGCTCCAGGGCGCCCTTGTCCAGCCCGTTGACCGCGTGAGGCGCGGCGGCGGGGAAGTTGCTGCGGCCCAAGCTGCTCCACTCCTCCACCTTGGGGCTGTGGTAGGGGGAGCTGTCGCTCACTCCTGCGGAGGAGGAAAGGGTCAGCCTCCCTCCAGAGACAGGACCCGAAGCCCCGACCTTGGGGCGACCCCCTGCCTTCGAACTCCCGGGGACGCGGGCCCCAGCCGTCTCCTCCTTCGATTCTAGCCTCAGGCCTGGGGGAACTTTTATTTCGCCTCGGAGTAGGCCTCGCCAAACTCACCCCTGTGGGTAGAAAGTTGTCCCCCCACCCCCGCACCCCCACTGGTCTTTGAGTTCCTCCTCCTTGCCCGGCTTTCTCCGTGACAAGGAGTGAAAGAAACCGGAGAGATTTTCCAAATTTCTCCGAGTGGGAAAAAGAACCTGTTAGGCTGAGCGCCACATTTCTTGTCCTCCCCAGGACGAACCCAGGCCCGGGTGGGAACCGGCCAAAGTCTGGGACTGGGCCGCGGGGGGGCATGGAATGAGATACGTCCTGGTCTAAGAAGCCTGCACTGATCCAGAGACGTTCAGCAAAGTGCTCACCATGCTGGGAAGGTCGGGTAAGTGAGTCAACAGACCGAACAAAAGATCCGCTGGGTCATTTGCAAACCAACCACTAACCGAAGCCTACAATATACATGCAAAGTCTGCTTGCTTCGGTTTCTGCAGAAGGTAAGCCTAGGACACGCGAAATACGTAAGGTTTGTGTGTATAAGAGTTAGAAAATGCATTTCACCGCCACCACTCTGCCCCGCAACAACAGCAGTGGCAGGGTTAAAGAGAGAAGGGTTTTGTTGCTACTGCTTCTGCTGTTTTCAAATCCGACACATATAGAAAATAAAAGTGCAAACCAGTGCAAGTAGAGTGAAGTGTTTGGCCATTAGTTGAACTTTCAGTTCTTAAGGAGATGCAAAGAAAATTATATGGTGTGAAATAATTACCACAATGCTGAAGTTTGTGCATATTGGATCATTGGGGTGTGTGTGTGTGTGTGTGAGAGAGAGAGAGAGAGAGAGAGAGAGAGATCAGGTGTAATTTTAAAGGCTACCAGGAATGTATTTTTGTGTTTGGCACCTATGGATGGAGGACTCAAGTTTGACCAAGCCTCGGCAACCTGATTTAAATATCTCCATCTGACACTGTGCTCAGAAAAGATGGCCACTGTGTAGAAAGCTCTAGTCACAAATGTGTCTGAAGTTGGGTTGTATGAAGTTGGCACTCAGAAGCAACAACCATATCTGGAATTAAGAGTTGCATCGAACCATAATCCAATACTTTCTGGACTGGCATTTGCTCTGCTTGTGGGAGTCCCTAGGGAAGACAAGTTCTCTTTTCAACTCCATCAGGCTTTTTTCCCCACTTTGCCCTCTCCCCCTAAAGAATTGAATGTGTTCTTATTTGCACCAAGAAAGCATGTTTGGGCCCAGAAGTGCCTGTCTCTAGTTGCTTTCCCAGACAAAAGGTAGTCGGTGGGCACAAGCCTAAAGTTATCTTAAGAAATTGAGATTCCCCTGTGAGCCCCCATTTCTGCTGATCTCACACTTTCCCATGAACAGGGGCTTCCTTTAAATGTCAGTGAGGTCAGGTTAGCCTATAAATCAAGGGCAAACACTCTCCCGCCGGCTCGAAATACTACAAATCTGGGCTCTTATAGAAGGGTCTTGTAAATTCACAGAAAACAAGAAGATGAGAAATCAGGGCACTATTTTAATTACTAACAAAGCGATAATTGTGATAAGTGTAACCAAGAAAGGCAGGAAATAATTAAAGAAACTATTTTCTCCCTTTCCTATTCAATCTTTCCGTTGTAAAACGACAAGCAAGGAGATAGGCTCTCTATCTGCATTATTTGAATTCTCCGTTCAAGGCATTCTGATTTTCTTTTCTCCCAACCAAGAAAGACGTTAATGCCGGTTTAAAAGAAAGAAAGAAAAGAAAACCGCAGTAAAGAAAACAAACTCAGGTCTCCAGCGGAAGTCGGGCCGAGCAAGAGGGCTCCGGGAGTCCTTCTGGCCACGCAGAAAAGATGCTGACGACCCGGCGAGGTCAGAGGTGAGCATGGGAACGAACAGTGGGGTGGCATCGCCAACAAACGTTCAGGAACTACTTGCTGTCCGCTCGCATTCCAGCGGACTGGCGGGCGCAGGGGCAAATGGGGAAGGCAGAGGAAAGGAAGCCACTTTCCACCACCGCAGGGTTGGATGCCACTGCTTAAGATATATATCGAAGTCGGTTAAGGGCAACGAGGAAATCAAGAGCGAGCGAGAGATAGAGCAAGCGCGTGAGAAGTAATACAGCAGAAAATTAGTCCCGGAATGAGCTACATGCAAGTTACTAGTAGTAACTTCGGGACTTCCATTTCCGAGGAAAATGAAGTGAAGCATAAGAATGAAACCAATTAGGTGACATTTGAACTTCCTGCCTGAGCAAATTTGGCCTGATTGCCAGAACCCGAGAAGGAGAACTCTGCCATTTCCCCCTAGTGCCGGGCTCTTCCCGGCCAGCCGCATCTGACCCTCACCCACCCACCACCGAGCGGGCAACCTGCAGCGTCGCCTGCTGCCTGCAGCCCCACAAGCCGGCCTCGGCCTCCCGGGCTGCGCCCCCGACCGGCCCCGGCCGCGCGCTCCGAGGTAGCCCGCCTGACGGAGGCCGCGGCAGCGCAGGGGGCGGGGGAGGGTGGAAAATGTGAACCATGTGTCGGGGCTGGGGGATGTTCAGGGTCTGGTAGTTTGAGATGAGGCAGGAGACTGTGGGTGGCAAGGAAACGAGGGGCATGAATTTCAAGTTAATGAGAGCAGGGCACCACCCCCACCCCCACTGCGCCGCCCCCCCAGAAGGACGCCTGATTTTCCAAAGGCAAAAAGGCCAGGTGGTGGCATGGGCAGGGGCCTGGCGGCCTCAGATCCCGGTATCTCCGCGAAGAGGAGGTGCGGCACACTCACGCTTACACCCCCGCAACCCCGGAGACTGACCTTGGTCGGTGATGGAGCGGATGCCCAGGATGTCCGTGACGGAGTGCGAGGAGGGCCAGGTGCGCGGCAGAGCCACCGAGCCGGGGATGGCTGGGACCCCGGGCGGCGTGGGTACCTTGGCGGCCGCCGCCGTTATGGGGCTGGGGTAGGAGTAAATGTGGTTGTAGGGTAGCGCGGGCTGTGGCGCCGGCTGGTGCTGTTTGTAGGAGTCGTAGTGGCCCTGCTGAGCCAGGTTGCCGATCTTGTTGCGCAGGATACGGCTGATAGAGCTCACCGAAGGCACGTTGTATTTGTCGCACACGCCGTCCGCCAGCAGGCGGTCCCGAATCTCCCAGGCAAAGATGCCGGGGTCCCTCTGCTTGTAGGTCCGGATGTGTTTCACCACGGTGGGGGTGGTGACCCGGGGCTTGCTGCCCCCGATGGCCCCTGGCAAGATCGAACCCGTCTCGTTGTAGCGCGCCAGGATCTTGCTGACACAGCCGTGCGAGACCCGTAGCTGGCGGCTGATGTCACACGGTCGAATGCCCAGTTGGGCCAGTTCCACGATACGAAGCCGGATGGCGTTAGGCAGCGGCCTCCCGTTCACAAACACTCCTCCCAACTGGTTCACCTCCCCGAAGGCTGGCTCTGCAAAACGAACACAAGGCGCGCGGGGACGCGCACCCGCCGCTTGGGACAGCTGCCTGACACCCGGCCTCCGCGCGCGTGTGGGGGCAGGCGAACCCACTAGCCGTGGGACAGGGACAGGGACTGTTCCCAAATCACATGCTCCACGAACCACGCCGATCGGCTCAAAGCCGGGGTGGAGTCGGAGCCCCCGTCGGTCCTGAGGCGCTGATGGCGCGATCGCTGGGACACTCGAGTGTCCAAAAAAACTCTGAAGCAAGCAGGGAAATCGATCCTGATATCCTGCCACCGGCTCCTTCTCGCCTACTTGGACTGAAGACCTTGGACTTCTCTGACCAGCGCCCCCCCCCCCCCCCCCCCCCGCCCGGGATCGCGCAGACAGACTAGGTCTAGAAGCTAGAGAATTTTTGTTTTGTTTTGTTTTGTTTACATGTGTCTGAAACAAAACTTGGTCTGCCACTGGGGTTGGGGGACTCGGTAATGCCACAGCTCCCTTCTCTTAAAATCAGAAAATGGCATCGATAAGAACCCAGCTACCGGAGATCAGAAAGAACTGCTGTGCACCGCTGACCCTTAACGTGTTCCCACAACTTGAAGGAACTCGAGCAAAGTCAATAAGGAGGGTGCGAGCGCCCAGTGGCGCGCGCCCTCGCGCCCGCGCCTCCCTCCTTTCTCGCGACCGCTCGCTCCCTCCCTCCCTGCCCGGCTCTGACAGCGTCCCCCGCCGCCACTCACCCATTGCTCCAAGCAGTACACCAACCGGGCTCCAGTTCTGTTCTCCCAGAAAGAAACTTTTCGCACGGCCTCAGTGGACCGGCCTATAATTGCCCTGGGCCGCCGAAGCCTCCGCTTCTCCCCGAGAGGAGGCGGCGAGAGTGCAAAAGGAAGGAGTAAAAGGAAGTCTGTGCGGGGATGAAAGAGGCTTGAGTTCTGCATTTCAATCTAAGCAGCAACGTGGGCTGGGTTGACCGGGGCCGGGCGGCTCGGGCTATCACTCACTAGGGACACGCCCCCAAAGAGGCGGGCCCCAGGGCAATCTGCGCGCTGATAGGGACGAGCCGTTGAGCGACAGCGCAGGCCGGGAAACTCCTTCCGTTGTCTCTTTCAGATTGCTCTGCACCTGGGTGACTAAATACAATGAAAATGGGTGTTTGACATCTTCCCAGGAGCAGCGTAAACAGACAGCAAAATGAGACTGGTGAAAATGCTGAATAAGCAAATGAGAGCGTTTAGTCTGAGAGTGACTCCGAGGGGGAAGCCTCCCCTCCCCCAGACCTTTTTCAGAGAGTGACTGACGTCTCTGGATTGAAGTTAAGACTCCAGGTGGGAAGTGGACGCCAACTGGTTCTGAGATGGGCCTTAGAATGACCTGTCATGCAGGCCTCCTACAGGTTGTCAGAAGGGGAGCCAGCGCAGCACCGGCTGATCCTACCCCACTTCAGTCCACGCCAGGTGGTGAGATCGCAGGTGTAACAAGGTAGGCCCACGGACAGACCTGGAGGACGTCAGGAGGCAGAACCAGAAGCTTGGGGGCGGAGGGGGGATGTCCGGGCAGTGGCTTCTCCACTGTGGTCCCCCAGTAGGTGCATCTGAGAGCGCAACCTCACCAGCCACGCAGGTTCAAGGCAGGGACCATGCTTGCTGTACCCAGAAATTAACTACAAGCAAGCACAATACCCAACGTCGACTGACAGTGGGCAAGAGGGGTGCTCACCAGAGAGACCCACGCTCCACCAAGCAAGCTCAGCCATGAGGCTGGGCCTCTTCTCCCAAGCTTTTAAATATGCAAGGGACTTGGTTCAACGAAAGTGAGCCTGCACATGTATGTAATTCCCAAATCTTCCATGTAGCTACTAGAGGTGCTGAGATTCTGCCTACTTCTGCAATTTCACTTCTGTTCTCTCTAAATCGAGTCTGAAGTGTACCCTAGCTTTGGGGCTCCTAAAGTTACTCATATTTGGCAAATATAAATCAAAATAAAAAGAAGAGTTACTTTTAATGCATTTGAGAGTTTATGCTGTTTCGGATGGAGGATACTGTTACTTGACAATCACAAAGTCCATTTCTTGTGCTTTCAGTATTGGGATGGACCCAGACTAGTAAGTGACAAAGACACAGGGGAAAACGAATCATCACCTATTCTTCTTGAAACTAACAATGATTCACCGAGCCAGGTTTGATGGCGAGGTTACATTCAAAGTTCAAATTTAGAGGTGTGAAGGGCTTGAGAGAGAAAAGGAAAGGTGGGTGAAAGAATACCCTTAATACTGTGTCGTCGGGCTCTTAAGGCAAGTCCCATATCGAGAAGTAACACTTGAACTTGGCCTTTTACTTGGCCTTTTATCCTTGAACTTGGTTTTAAATCTTCTCGGATTTTGAGCAAATAGTGATTTCCTCCTTTTCTGACTCCCAATACCTGTTGTGAGCACCACCTGTTCCTTTACAACACTGAGGACCTTTGGAAATCCAAGAATTTTGATGCAGCAGCAGCTTCTTCGGACTGGAGCACAAATTAGCTGAGTCTTGGAGACCACTGAAGACAGTTTATGACTGCTTTAGGATTTGCTCTTTTGTTCATTGAAAAAACGAACGCGCCCAGCTTCTTGATCAGAAATTCCCTCCAAACGCCCCGCACAACCCAAACCCACAGACAAAAAATGGAGAATATCAACTCTAGCACAGACTCTGACTCCGGGCGCGGGTTCCAAGCCGAGGTCCGTGATGCCGCGCAAGCAGGCTGTTCGCCTTTGGGCTGGCAAGGCCAAACGCGGCACAATGCAGAACAGCACTTTGCGGACTTCTGCGGTCCTACAACACAGGCCCAGATTGCTCCTCAGACTTGAATGATTTGGAGCTCCCACGATCAAGTGACCTAACTCGCAACTCTGTCCTTCACACCTAGACTGCCTCAGCTGCGGAGATCTCCCGCGCCCTCGCACTGGTCATTCTTATCTCCAACTGCTGACCTTGGCTGTGGTCTTGGGTGACCTCAGCGGTCGTGGCCCTGTTGGGCCCTCAAAAGCAGGACCCAGTCCCTTCTGGGGGGGGGGGGGGAGGCAGGTGTTAGCGCTCTAGGATCAGTCCATTCTCCAGAATGTGCCCTGAATCTCTGGTGCTTTGAGGCACCAAGTACCCGTGTCACGACTAAGTGCAGGAAGGACCAGCGCTGCCGAGGTCAGGCGGGGCTAGCGAAAGCTTCCCGGGGCCACTTGGAGCCCGCGGCCCGCTGAGCCCTGGCGAGCGATGGCCTTGTCTCAAGCCGCTGGCGAACTGACTGGAGGCGAAACAGAAGAGAGCCCTGCAAGACAGTAAGGCTAGACGGTGGGCGAAGGGATGCAGGGCTGGGAAAGAGCAAGGGTCAGCTGGGGGCAGCGCCCCCTGGTTACTGCCTGGGGGAGATCACGCCGGGGTCGGAAGAATTTCGACCTTAAAAAGGAAATTTAAGAACAAAACCAAAACACAACCAGTAAGGCCTGCAGCTGACTCAGACAAGGAAAAGCCAAAAGTCCTTCCCTGGGCGCTGGCGAGGCCTCCTCCCAGGGGCGACCCGTTCTCTGGGTAAATATTTACTCAGTGGGGGCCTGGAAGCTGGCCGGGCCCCGCGTGTAAAGGAGGGGACTCCAATGGGGGGCCGCGGGGGGAGACCGGGACGCTTCGCACTGGCTGGCAGGGGCCTGTCCAGCCCGAGGGGAGCCGCGGCCCCAGGACTCCCGGGGCGGCCAGGCCTGCGCGAGCGGCGGGGGAGCTTCGGTCCGCAGCGCGCCCGCCTGCGCCTCTGGCCCAGCGCCCTGCCCCAGCCAGATGCTGTTCAGCCTCCATCAATCTGTCAGCGGTCTCAGGGCCGAGGGCGGTCACCTGCGGCGGTCCCCTCCTGGCCCCCGGGCGGTCAGAGGCAAGCTACGGAGAAAGGTTCAAAATCCAGCCCCTTCCGAGGCCTCGCACGCGGCCCGCCCCGGGGCT